TGGTGGGATGCGGATTCGAACCCGCGACCCTCAGATTGTGAGTCGAGCGCCTTATCCACCTGGCCATGCCGGGCCTATTAAAACCTAAAATTATAGAAAACTTTAATTAGTTATCATGAGCTAATTTAATTAACGTGTTACTAAAATAATTGATCGTTATACATTCACAAGCATTAGCTCACAGAAGTATACATTTTACTTCTGCTAATATAGTTCTACTTCGTTATTAAACTACAAAAGAAGTGTTTTTTTTTTCACATTTATACATATTTAATTAGTTCGTAGACGAGAACATGCTTTCACCATGTTATTAAATGAATACATTTTTTTACGCGACTACCACGTTATAATTACACTGCATCGTAAATGTTAGACTTTGGTCAGACATTCTCTACTTTCAGATATTTATATTGGAAACCATGACCAGTTTTTAAAAAGTATTTAAAATAATGATCGTGACATGTGTAGGCCTAGAGAGATATGATGTACGCCTAAAGAAACCAACCACTAACAGTGAAAATAACTTCAAAGTGCGAAGTTTACCTGTTTCTCTACTCACGAGGTGAAGAGGATTCCCGGCGCCAGCATCCGTTACTGGCAGGCGCCGAGGGACGGGGGCTTAGACGTCTGTCGCCAAAAAATAAGACATTAAATAGACCTTTGAACGTACGTGTGTGTCTTCACCTACGCCTTTTTCTATTTCATATGCATAGGTTCCAAGAAATAAAACAATGTTGTGTACTTTTTACCTTGAATCGGACCAAATCACCATATAAGGACAAGAGACCAGAAAGGAAAGAGTTTTTCCAATGGACAACAAGTTATTGATGCTCCATCTCCATTCGGATGACTCAAGTCAAGATCCATAAGATCAAACAACAAACCATAGCAACAAGGATATTTGTGACGTCGTAGGGCACTCCTACTAAATATTAAATAGAATTGATCAACTACAGTAGTATCACTTGATCTGTCGTGGACTGAACATCTATTACAGCGGTAAGTAGTTTAATTTTATCACCTAACATATTTATTGTATTATACTCTTTCATGCGGTTTTTGGTTTTCCAAACTAAATGTTGATGTACAGTGGTTTTCAAACTTTTGAGTTCTGTGCAGATTCTTTCGAGATGATCAAAGTCATCGCGTGCCTCAATCTAATCTGATAGCAGCTTCCACAATACAGATTTGTAAGTTACGTATACAAATTTCTGTTTTCTCAGGGATCTATTCAAATGTTTGCGTACCACTGGTTGAGGACCCGTGTCCAAACAATTACGTAAACGTATTAGCACATTTTTATTTAACTTATATATTTGGTCAATTTTTTGAAGCACGTTTTAAGTTTGCGTGGATTTTTTTCAGGTATGGACAAATAAGGCAAGTACGTGCAAGTAGTAACAAAGTGAAAGTAAAATATAAAAATACAAGTGAAAATGTTATATATAGCTTACAATTTAATAGCACGTTTAAGATACAAACTAAAACTTAGAAAATATGAAGAACGTTCGTTTGATTTATGTTAAAGAATATTTAATATTGAATATATATATGTGTGTTCAAAAAATATGCAGGATTTGCTTCCTTCATCGTTTTGATAACTCATATAAAAATAATAACGTCTTTTAGTTTTAACATAAGTCTATGTAATGTCATTTCCGTCAGTTCTGCAATTCGTAGCTGAAGAAGGAAGAACGTCCGTTTTTCTGATTGAGTTATACATTATATTATCAAATATATTGGGCTAATTTTTATTGAAGTTATAAATGAGTCTCATGGTGCACTATTGCGCATAGTCTATGAAGATCAGCGGCTGCTATAGACGTCCAGGTGAAGTTAGGGTACCAAGCAGAAGGTGTAACCAGATCCTATGAGATTAGTTATTGGACATATTATTAATGTTATGAGCGTGTGAAACATTTCTACTCACATACTCATCTTAATATCCACTGTGAGTAATGCTACACAGAAATGGAAGACCAGGTTATGTCGTGAAATATTGTTCCAAAACTAATAACTCCTTGAGCTGAGCAAACTTTGAAATATTCTGTGAAATGAAACCGCATACCTAGTATTAATTTATTATCAAAGTGTTTAATGAGATTTCAGAACTGCATGCCACTACGTATAGGGGGTTCTGTGCTACTGAAGTTTTGTGGGTGGGCTGCAGCCCATAAGCCATTCATAACAACAGAAAATTAATGCACGTAAACGAACGTTGTGAACGTGAAGAACATTTTGGATAGAACTCTGTTAGCCCAACCATGAAGAGTGGGAGGGCTATTATAGTGGTATGTTTCTATAGATACTGTAGCAGACTTCTTCTCGGTCAACTGGTAATGTTTAAAAAGCTATGCGTAGGGATATTTTGAACAGAGCAATACTGTTAGCAGTGATGAAAAATCTATGGAGAAAAAAATATACCCGTTTAAGGATTTTAATGCACCATGATACAGAGTATGCTATTCAGCAGTAGTTTCAAACCAATTATTGTCCAATATCTATCTTGACTACTCCGGAATAAACTAGGTCTTGAATCCAAATGAAGTGATTTGGGATGTTTCAAAACACCGCGTGAAAAACAAAAAACAAAACTGAATGATTCTAACATATTTTTGCAGCTGTTAATGAAAAGTGTTAATAAATGAATCTATAATTTTATAAACGCCAGTAGTGAATCCACTCTCTAATATAATCTTGCCTGACGGCGAATAACAATATTTCCTTCTCAAGGTGTGCTGTTTTAAAGCTTTTCGTGATACACTATATATTGTGTTAAACTGCATGAGCAAGGAATGTAGAATAACATAATGATGGATTTTTTTGATATAGTACATTAAGTTATATATATCACTTCTTAATGTTACAATATGGATTTTCTGGTTTTAATGGCATTACTTTTAAATAGAACAGCATTCTGTGAACAAAATATCCACATTTTGCTTGTTTTATTAAAAATAAATTTATACTACTGCACTTGTTATTATTAAACGTATTGATGCTTGATAATTTTATGTTCAAAGTGCTTTTCAATGATATAAACGATGAATGATCTAGATTTAAAAATGTGTAACTATTGAATTTTAATCTAAAGTGTTTTGTATCCTTTATGCTTCTAAGAGTTAAACAGCTGAATATACTCTAAACATTTAGTCTAATTTATATAAATACTTCCACTTCTAGAATTTTGAACTTGTTGTTTTTGCACATCTAATCTGACTCTTTACTGTACAAATAGCTTAGTCTAGAGTGTTAAGAATTACTGTAGTTTTAATCAGTTTTATTCCAAAAAGTCTCCCCCTCTCCTCGATAGGACAGCAGTAAGTTTACAGACTTATAACGCTACAATTAGGGGGTCCGAATCCCCGCGGTGGACACAGCAGATAGCTCCACGTGGCTTTGCTCTAAAATATACAAACAAACCTACAAAAATGGACTTGCCCTTTTAACCAAAGCTTTAGTTATATACTACTCGATTAATTTTTAAAATACAACTTTTTGGAGTGTTTCTAATTATTTTTTATAATACTTACATGTTTTGTTCAGCATTAACTTTTCCCTATTTACAATTGTAAATACTTACCATAAATAAATGTAAATAGCTTTTCAACCCAAATACTATTAACATGATAGCAGTATTGTTAATGAGAATTACTCTTTTCAGCAATATTATTTAAAATAAAAACCTGCTTCTGATTTCATATATTTCAATGTTTGGATTTACTGTAATAATAGAAACATAACATCGATTATTACACAATGGCGTTTAGCATTTCTTAACTTTAGCTGTTACATGACACCTGAAAAGTTTTGTCATAAATAACGTAAATTTATAAGACATAATAAATTTAATAAAATAGAAATACCAATAGAAAAAAAAAATTCTTATATCCGAGCTTTTAGTTTTCTATGTCATAATGAACTGGTACAGAAATTGTAAGAGAAAGTTTTTCTTATTAAACTGAAATAAAAATACGTGTTGTATAGATATACTTACTAGATAACTATGGGTATTGTCTTTGAGCGCCATCTGTAGGAGATACAGAGTTTCTACTGAAAGTAGGCTAGACTACCCTTTAAAGACAAAAAAGTATCGAATTAAGAACAGTTAACTGATGTATTACTTTATCACAGATGTTGAACTTGCTATAACCTAATCACTAAAACCAGTCGGGTGGGATTACTGGAAACGTGTGCTAAGTTTTAAAAACTGTCAACTGTAAATTAGGGGGCAGAAAGAGTCACGTCTGCTTTGGGCGAGCGCAGTTAAAGCTACCGTTTTCTAAGAAATAGCCTGAGGCTCGCGGCACCATAGGGCGGATGTGAGGCGGCTAGCTAGCCAGCCGGGACGGTGGGCGCTACCCGTCGGGGCAAAAAAGTAGAAGTAGGAACCAATAGTGAGGGAGGAAGGGTCGGGATAACGGGGTCTCAACTAGCATCCTTCTGAGAGATGAGGTGGTTTATTGGCGCGCGCAAAGGAACTTCATTAGTATTCCTTCTTGATTCTCTTCTCTA